AGAGAGAGAGAGAGAGATGCTAAGGCAGTCAGAGTCAGGTATGCACATGTGTGATGCACGTGTATAATTCTGGCACTCTGGGAGGCTGAGGCAGGAGGGCTGCATGTGGAAGCCAAGCCTGGGCAACCTAACAAGACCCTTCTAGAAGGAGAAGAAGGAGAAGAAGGAGAAGGAGAAGAAGGAGAAGAAGAAGAGGAGGAGGAGGAGGAGGAAAAGGAAGAGGAGGAAGAGAAGGAGGAAGAAGAGGAAGGAAAGAAAAGAAAAAAGGGGTGGTGGTGGTAGTGGTGGCGTTGGGAGCTGGGGAAGCAGCTCAAAGTGAAAGCCCTAAATTCAATCCGCAATATTAAAATGAAAAAGTAGGGCCTGAGTTCAATCCCTGGTTCCACTAAAAATAAAAAACAAAAAATGAAGAGCTTAAAAATAATTTAAATTTGGAGGGAGGGAGGGAGAAAAATTAAAACACAGATAAATTAGTAAATAAAGTACTACAGTCAGATAGCTCAGCGGACTAAAGCACCTGCTTAGGCAGAGTGCAGCAGCTGGGGTTCAATCCCCCCAGCAGCCATGCCTGCCCCCAGGGTGCGCTGAGATGGCCTTTGAGACTGGGCGTGGTAGCCAGCACTTGGGAGGCTGAAAACAAGAGGATCACTATGAGTCCAATCTACGTAGTGAGACCCAGTAGACCCCGTACTAAATACAAATAATAATAATAATAAAGTACTGCAGCTATCCTTCTATAGGCATGCAGAGGGAGACAGGGCAGGAACTAAGAGGAGACAACATGATGATAAGGCAGAGATTGGGGCGGGGTAGCCACAAGCCAAAGTTCCCAGAAACTACAAGTACGAAAGGATTCTCCCGAGAGCCTCCAGAGGGAGCAAGGCCTGGCTGCACCTGCATTTCTGCCCAGCAATAATACTACTCGGAGACTTCTGATCTCCACAAGTGTGAGAACAAACTTCTATGGACTTAAGCAATGTGCTGTCCACGTTTTGTTTTTTTCTTATAGCAGCCACAGGAAAGGAGTACAGTAGCGGACACTTTGTGTCTGCGCGGTTGTGCTGGGATCTGCTCTGAGCGTTTCCCCCACATCCAATCATTACATTGGGGCCTTACATGCCAGGCCCGGCCATGCAGGCACAATCCCAGCTTCACTGCCCATACTGCGACCTTGTGCAAGTTAAAGACCTGTCTAAACCTCATTGCTCAATCCACTACTGAAGAATCGTGCAGGTAGAATAAGGTGAGAAGAAAGACTGAGGACAGTAGCAGCAAGGGCTCCCTAAAGGCTTCTTCATACGAGACAGCAAGAACGCAGTGAGCCAAAGTGGGCCTGCCCTGCTAACCTGCAGGACCTGCACCAGGCAGGCCTCAGGACGCCGTGCAGGCCAAGATCTTTCCCTAAAGCCCACTCAGCAGCAAACAGGAAAGGCTAAGGAGTTCGGTGGAGGATGCCTTTCCCTACTTAGCCAATGCAGTCCCATAACGCCAGCCTCTCTGCAGAAAAGGCAGATGCCTGGGATGATGCTAACATTTCCAACACTCTGTCTGACGATCTTAAGAGCTATGCACGCTATCATCCTCACTGACACACCCCAGTGGAGGCCACCACATCTCCGGGAATTCTGGTGTCCCAGAACAGCAACTCTCATGCTCAGAAGTCAGAGGGGAACAGAAACCTCCCCCTGGCCCACTGTGTGGCCTTTTCCTCAGACGTGGCTCACACAGCCTTAACCCTTTTCAGCAGACTGGAGAGAATGATAAATTCAAGAGTCTGCGTTGAGGAAGAGGTTTAGCCACGTTAGGAAGTAAAGAATGAACAAGATTCACCAAGTCTGGGAGGAAGACCTAGCGTTAGCACCTGCAAAGAGGAAAACAGGAGTTTCATTTACTCCACAGGAGCTTTCTCAGCAAAGTTTGCCAAGCGTTCCTGCCCAGGTGACAATGTTACTCAAAGGAGCAGAACTGTCCAGGGTGCCAGGCCTTGTGCCACCGCTGAGGAGATCTGCTCGTTAGGGGTTAAACAGAAGAGAAGGGCCGGCCACCCGGCCCGGCTTCCCCCTAGGCAGGGCGCCAGCCCTTCAGAAGACTCGGCTGCCGCCACCGTTGTTGGCTACCAGGCCTCTGCCCAGCAGGCTGCCCCGACAGCCACCTGCGCTCTGGGCCCTAGCCTCGGCCACCCTCTGGGAGAAAGGAGGAGGAAGGACGACAGCTCCCCCTCTGTACTTTCAGGCACCCACAGATTTCTGCTCTTGCCGTCACCACTGACGAGAAGCCAGGGCGCCAGAGGAATCGCTGCTCGGGTTCCATCCTCCGGATCAGTGAGCCGCAGCAGCTCCCACCCCATCCCCGTGCCGGTGCCTCCGACTCCAGAGGAGCCTCAGCCCGAGGGCCACATCCGGAGCGCGAAGCCGCTGCAGGGGGTCGCCGGCCTACCCTGCAGTCCCTCGCTCCCTCCCAGGCCCCGCGGACCCTTAGGCAGTCGGCGTCCCGAGGGAAAGCGTGCGCGGGCTCCGCCGACCCCGCCTCCCCCGGCTCGGCGCGAGAGGACCGCTTAGCTTCACACGCGGGTCAAGCGCTGGGCGCGCGGCTCCCCACTCGGGACTCGAACCCAGGCCGCTGCCCCCCACTTTAGCAAAGGATCCCAAAGCAAGCCCCGGCCCTGCGCCCGCACCCAGAGAGGAGTCCCGGCCGCAGGCGAGCGCACCCCTCGGGCCCCTGAGGGGCTCGAGCAGCGGGGTGCAGGCAGCGAGACACGGGAGGCGAGCCGGGGCGAAGCCGGGGTTCACTCACGCGCGGGCCCTGGGGAACCCCATGGAGAGCAGCACGTCCAGCGCCGAGCCATGCTTGATCGTGCCGGGGCGCTGCTGGCGGCTCCTCCGCGGGGTGACTTTGCTGTACAGCTCCTCGCGCGCGGCCATGCCGAGGGGCTGCGCCGTCAGTCCGTCCGTCCTTTGGCGGCTCAGCGCCCGGCCATCGCCCAGGGCCCGGGGCGCTTCGCGGCGCGGGTTTGGTGGGGACAGCGGGCGCCCCGCGCTTCCCGGGTCCGGACTTCGGCGCTTCCTGGTGAGGCCACCCGAGCTCCCGCCGGCCGCTTCCGCGCGATCCTCCGCGTCAGCCGCCACTGGCCTGGCCCCGGAGTCTCCGCGCCGCGCCCGCAGCAGCCCTTTCTCCTTCGGCCCTTCCTCGGGTTCTCGGAGCAGTCCGGGAATTTGCAATGAGTAATTTTTGAATGGATCAAAAGGAAAAGGAGCCTTGTGGGCTGGCCCTGCCGTGCCTGTAATCGGGGTCCGCCCCTTTCTTAAAGACACAGAGCTGTCCCAGGCGGCTGGGGCCGAGTTCAAACCTGAGGCGGGCGCCTCAGGAAGGCTGAGGGTGTGCTTGGGTTCCCAAGAGTCCCTTCATCGCCCCGGCCCTCTCCTTGCGCGTCGGCCTAGGCTGGTCTTGGGACTCCAGACAACCCATTTTTAACCCCATTCTTGACGGGGTTAACAGTGGGAATCGGATGCACTGATGGATGATATTAATGGATCACAAAGCCAAACATAAGGCTCAAATAAACGGTTTTGCGTCCAAGGGATCCGGCAAAAACGAGAGGGTTGTTAAGACTGGTGGAGGTCAAGAATCTACAAGGAAGATCCACTCTGTCCCTCTATAGCCCTGGCTAGCAAGTGGATAAAAACTTCTGGAAAGAGGGGGACCTATGGTTCTGGAAACTGAGAGAGAAGAGTACAGAGGTGGAAGGGAGGAGGAGGAGAAGCTAGGAAGGAAACGGGAGACAGGAACAGGGAAAGGATACTTTAATTATAATGGGTTGGAAATGCAATGGGCTGATTTTCATGAGTGAATAAGTAAATGAATTCGAATAAATAAGTGGGTTCACAGACAGACTGGATCACCCCTACACAACGACCACAAGTGAGACGATGGACAAAAGGTCTACTGCCTGCAAGAAAGTGGACGTCCCAGCTTCCACGCCGCTGCCGCGCACCCGAATCAGGCTGAGAAAAGACGCATCTTTTTTTCATCTGGACACCTCACTGTCTTCGGTCAGGGACCGCCTACTGAGTGTAAGGAAAGAGGCGGCGTGAACCCTATCAGCCGGCCTTTTTGTGGGTACTAATAATACAACCTGAGCTTCCGGTACCCATCATTGTGCTAAGCAAATGGGCGTATTAACCGAAATTTTACAGTGCTCTTTGGGTTTGTGTCTTTGTTATCTCAGTTTTACAGATGAGAAAACACTCAGGAGGATCACAGAGCTGGGAAAGGCGCGAGAGCTTTTCCTCACAGTACAGCCTGGAGAAGTTACTTCTCTCCAGGCGACACCTGGGTCTCGTCAGTATGGCGCACTACACCTGTGGGCTTCTCCTGGGTAGAGCAAGCCTCGAGTCGAGTTTTGATATTGCTTTATAAGGCTTCTAGAGTTTGGCCATGGGAAAGGATACAGCTCCAGTTCCTGAGTTCCCCACACACACCAGCTTGGTTTTCTACAAAATATCCAGTGGTCTTTGGAAGTGGGGAGATAAGACAGCTGGAGCCTCAGCACTGCTGTGCATAGTTCCCTCCTGTGTGTGCTGTGAGGAGAGGAGCAGGGATGGTGCGTACTTCCTGGGTGGGGCTGTTCACACTGCTTACAGAGCAGAGGAGACCGTGCAGGATGTGTTTCCAGGGCACAGAGCACACAAGAAAGAGCAGTTGGGAAATCCACACCTGGCTTACTATCCTCCTTGGGATATGCTCTGTAAAGCATGCTGGGTATTACCCACAATTCCAAGTTGTTTCCAAACATCTAGAGTGAAAATTCTGAGTGAGATCCCTGCCAAGTGAGAATGATGTGTGTGGAAGTGCTACACAAACAATAACACCACTGCACTGAGCACTAGGGAGAGCTGGTACTCTTTTTTTGTGGGTAACTCATCTTGTTCCTTAAGGCTGTGCAGTAGGCATACTAATTTCATTATTAGCTACTTTGTAAACAAAGATATTGAAACAGAGATCAATTCTCTTGTCCAAGCTCACTAGACTAATAAATGGCAGAGTTGCGATTTGAGCTTTTAACATTTGGCCAAGTGCTTACTGTCATTGCTATGGGGACAGAAAGGGCAGTTGACCTTTAAAATAGCTGATGAAGCTGGGTGTGGTGGTGCAGTCTACAGTCCCAGCACTCAGGAGGCAGAGGCAGGAAGACTAATTATGAAGACCTCAAGGCCAGCCTGTGCTACACGGTGAGTTCAAAGCCAGCATGAATGACACTGAGACCCTGTCTCAAACAAACAAACAAATAAACAAACAACAAGATAGCTGATGGTAGCTGGACATAATCCCAGGATGTGAAGGTGGTAAACTAAGGCATGAGGATCTAAACTTCAAATCCAGGCTTGGGCAATTTAGTGACTTAGTAAGACCCTGTCTTAAAATAAAATGGGAATATAGTTAAGTGGCAGAACCCCTGTGGATTTGAGCCCCAGTACCACCAGAAAAAAAAAAAAAAAAATTTAACTGCTGGTGATTGCCTTTTGGACTCCACCAATCCCCCTTGATTTGCAGTTGCTGGAGCTACATTTCTTCAGAAAGATTGAATTAATTGTGTTTCTTCTCCCTGCCTCTAGGCAGACTTGAGGTAGAGTTAGCGATGGGTATAAAAATAGTTTTAGGTATCCTGGGAAAAGCACTACAGAAAGCCAGGCACCTTAGATGCAAAGAGTTTGGTCTGGGGCATTTTAACAGAAGCCCCGCTGCTCCCTGCCCTGTGCAGCTTGGTGCCAGGCTTGTCTTATCTGTCAGGGCTGCCATTTGTTCTGCACAGGGCTGGGGGCAGGGGTGGCAATGGATATGCATTGTACTTTCATTGTGTTACCTCTGAAAAGCCAGGAGAAGTCCTATAAACATCCATATTGTTCTATTACAAAAGGAAAAGAGGCTCTTCCTCTGGCAGTGAACCATGCAGCAAGGGGGAGGAGGGGGCTGGAGAGGGCCTTGCACAAGGGCGGAGCTGACACATCAGCTCTGACTGGGAAGGCAAGCTCCCCTTCTCTGCGCCCTGGACCACACCCCCTGGACCACACTGCTGTCCTGTCCATGTGAGTACTCATTAGATCCACACGTTGACCGCTGCCACTTCCAGGGGGAACAGCACTTCTGCAGTGGCCGCAGGGATGCTCCACACCTGCCCAGCTGCCCTTGTCACTTGTGAGCAGCATTCTGTGGCTTTTCTTTCTCCTTCTCAAGGTCCTGGAGAAAAGGTCAAGTGGTGACATTAAGAACAGGCAGTGAAGCTGCGGTGCAGTTCTGTTCTGAGGGCTGGGGTATTCCACGGTCAAGCACAAGGGGAGGTTTTGAGCCTCTGGGAATGACTTCACATCCTAGACTTCAAGGGGGATCTTTATGGCCAGAAGAGTTTGAAGTCTGTGTTGCAACTCTCTGGTCCTCAGTCCTCTCTCCTGCAAAATGTGGGGCTCACTCAGGTTGGTGATCCCTGGGACTTGGAAACTTAGAAACTCCCTGGGGTGGGGTTACTTACCTGGAGGTCTTAAGGGAAGAGTTTTACTTTTTTTTTTTTTTTAGTGGAATCAGGGATTGAACTCAGGCCCTTGTGCTTGCCAGGGAAGCACTTATTTCACTGAGCTATCTCCCCGGCCCAAGGGAAGAGTTTCAATGTATATACTACACTTTTATCACATTCATGCCCCCTCCCAACCAGCCTTGCACTCCTTCTTCCTGTCTTCTTATATAATAATATTTAGCTTTCTACTTTATTTATTTTGGTGACAAGCTTTCTTTATGTAGTTTAAGCTGGCCTTAAATCATGAATTAAACCAGACTGACTTTGACCTCCCTGAATTCCTCCTGCCTCATCCTCCTGAGTGCTGGGATTGCAGGTCTGCACCCAGCATGCCTGGCTCCATCCATTTGTGGATGCACACCTTTACTGGCTCCATAAACTAGAGCAAGTAATGCTTAGCTGGGTTTGGAAGAGCATAAGTCAGTAGAAGTCCAAGAGGAATAGAGTGGCAGGTCTGGGGGAGGTGGAAGCAACAAGAAGCAGGTCTCTGAGAGAGGAGAAGGGTCACCAAGGGAAGCCCATAGACGTGGGCTGTCCTTTTGAGGACTTGTCTGTCCTCCACTGTCCCTAACCACAACTAGACCAAGTCTGAAGGCCTGAGGACTGGCTGTTGTCTCAGAGTCACAGGTTTGTCCCTAGGACTTAGCACAGTGCTGGGTGTAGAGCCTGCAGGCAGCAGGAGCTTCGTCAGCCACTGCTGGTTGATCTGCGAAAGCAATTCGTCGTGTAGGAAGACCTAGGCTGGAACCATGAAAAGCACCAGTCCCCAATCAACAGAAACCTCTTGGGGATATTTTTTCACAGTATATAAACATTGCATATTTCTCTCAATTGCAAAAGGAAGAAAAAAGAGAGGAGGCTCTTTCTACTGCCTGCTTGTTTTGTTCCCCATTTCTGAACAAAACCTCTAACATTTTTATTCTGGAATCTGTTAGCAGGAGGCTCGGTATTGTTCACACTCCTCACTCTTCCTAAAGGCTTCTTCCCAAAGCCACTGCTCCTGGGACTCTGACCTCGATTTTCCACAAAATAAAACCTGTTTTGTGAAGTAAAGGCTATGAGCTTTAAGGGGGGAGTAGATTGTCACTTTTTTTTTTTGTATAAAAAGGTAATGTGCAGCACACCATGGCCCACACCAGTAGTCCTAGCACTTGAGAGCCTAAGGTAGGAGAATCCTGGGAAGCCTGAGGCCAGCTGGAACTTCAAAGCCAGACCACCCTGTGTCAGAAAAAAGAGTGTCAGTTACCATCTCTTCTACCCACTTCCTGTCTCACTCCCTACCCCAAAGCCACCCTAGAAAGTGTTAGCCTGCTCTGTAGGGCAAGTGCTATTCCAGAGTTGGGTTATAGGTTTGGAAAAGAAAGCACAAGAATTTACATCTTTTTGTCTTTAAAATGGACGCAATACTTACCCCATAGGGTGTTTGTGGTGATTAAGTGAATCATGGGGGGATATGAAGGATCAAGTGAGGGGCCATGTGCTGCCTGAGGGTTTTTCTAGATATACCATTTATTTTCCTGGATATTTAGAGTGTCTTTGTTTAACTAGACCTAGATCTGAGAATTAAATGAATCATGCATGGTTTACTTGTGATTATTTTGTAAGCACCTACAAATTCCTCATCTAAATAAAGGTT